AGGCGGCGGGGCCGCATGGTGGCTCCGCGCCGTTACCCCGCCATGCCCGGCCCGCCCGGCCCGTCCGCCCGCCCGCCGCGGGGACCGGGCTCCACCTGCCGGAGCCGCCGGGCACGGCCGCCCAGTGCCCACCCCCGGAGCGGCACCGCCCCGGCACCGGGACCACCCCCGGCACCGCCCCGAGACCCCCCAGACCAACCCCCGGCACCGCCCCAGAGCTCCGGCACCGCCCCCTCCAGATCCCCGAGACTCGGGCCCCATCGCCGGTACCGCAACACCGCCGGGACCGCTCCCCGGGACCGCTCCGGGACTCGGTACCGTCACCGGCATCCCGGGACTGACCCTGGTATCGGCAGCGGCAGCTCAGGACCCACCCCCGATATCGGCACCGACCCCAGGATCCACCGCTGACACTGCCTCGAGCCCCGGCACTATCCCCGGTACCGATCCCGACCCGCTGTGCCTACCCCCGGTACCGCCCCGAGGCCAGGACCGGGACCCGGCACCGCAGGACTCACTCCGGTTCTGGCACCGACAGCTTTGCACTGCCCCCGGTACCGCACGGGCCTCCCGGGACCCATTCCCGGCTCCACTCCAAGCCCCGGGACAGGGACGTGGTACCGGCACCAGCATCCCGGGACTGACCCTGTACCGGCACCAGCATCCCGGGACACTCGCGGTACTTCCTTGAGCCTCAGTGTCGACCCCCGGTACCTCAGCGGCATTTCGGGACTGGCCTTTGGCGCTGCCCCGGTCCCCCGGTGCCATCCCTGGGACTGACCCCGGTACCGTGACCCACCCACGGCAGCAGCAGCGGCCCCGCTATGGATCCCCCAGCGCTGCACCGGGACTGACCCCGGCACCAACCCCCCCACTGCCCTGGGGCACACAAGAGGAGACATTCTCCCCAAAAGCCTCCCTGCCCCCCTGCTGTGCCCTGTCTCCCGCCAGACCCCCCCGTGCAGGTCCGGGGGGACACAACCACAGCCCCATGGACAGCACCTGAGGATAGAGAAGGGATTTATTGTCCGGGGGAAACAGAGCGGGGCTGGGGTCCCACGGGCACGGGGGGCTGGGGAATGGGAGCTGGGTGGGGGTGGGGCACAGGGGTCCCCGGGAACACCGCTAGTCCTGGGCACCCCCCGGCTCCTGGGCACCCCCCGGCTCCTGGGCACCTCCCGGCTCTTGGGAACCCCCCAGCTCCTGGGCACCCCCCGGTTCCTGGGCACCCCCCAGCTCCTGCGTGTCCCCCTCGGCAGGCGGCCGCGTCCTCTTGAAGAAACCGGTCTGGTAGGGGACACAGCGACAGTCGGGCCCTGGGGGACCCCGCGGCACACAGGGCCCCCCAGAGATCCCTGTGGCACCACCGCAGGGACCCCATGACATCACTCCTAAGGGACCCCCTGGCACCAGCCTCGGGACCCCACAGTGTCACCCTCCCGGGACCGCAGGGTGTTACCCATGCCGCTGTCCCCCCGTCCTGTCCCACAGCTCCCACCCCCAGCACTATGGCCCATGGCTCATGGTCCCTCTGGTGCCAGTGAGACCCCATCACCGTGGTGAATGTCACCAGTCCCCAGTGTTCCCCCGTGTCCACTCACGTTCCACAGGAGAAGGATGAGGAGGGTGAGGAGCAGGAGCCCGGCCAGGACCCCCAGCACCACCCACCACACTGGCACAGCCCCCTCGCCCCCGGGGCTGGCGCGCACCAAGCGGGTGTCAATCTGTAGAGGGACAGGTGGGTGACACCGCTGCCACCACGCTGTTCCTGTGTCCCCACACCCACGCCGGCTCTACCTCAGCCTTGCCGGTGGGCAGGACCCGGGGCTGGACGCGGTAGGGCATGGCCGAGGTGTTGAACCACGCTTGGGACTGGATGACGAACTGCGTCAGGAGGTGCTCCCGCTAGGGACAGATGAGGGGACACGCAGGGGACACGTAGGGTACACATGGGAACCTGGCATCAGGGGTGCTGGCAGATAACAGAGCACCCGTGACCCCACCCAGGGCATCCCCAGGGTGTTCTCTGGGGAGCACCGTGCAGGAGGGGACATTGCAGGGATGCCCCGGGGCTACAATGCCACCCCTTCCCCTCTGTCCCCAGGAGGTGACAGTACCTGCTGCAGGGTGTCCATCCAGAGCAGGGCGTGGACACTGACCAGTGCCCGCTGGTCCTTGCCCAGGCTGGGCACGTGGCAGGTGATGTCCACGCACGTGGCATTGTCACAGTCCTGAGGGACACGGTGGGTGTC